ACACACAGTGGAGAATTGGTTTAATGGCTTTTCTATTGTGTATGGATAATCTGAAAGAGAAGAGAGATAGATGAATGTCAGGTTCAATACCATTGCTGAATTTCATGGAGCATGCTATTCTTTCTGCTTTTTGTTTCCTTCATTTTTTTTTGAACTTTTGGTAAACTATTTATGTCTTGAATGTGTGTGATTTTTTTTTTTTTACAAAAATAAATGTAGCCTCATAACCAAAAACCAACCTTGTATTCTTTCAATTCACAAACTTACTAATCATTCCGACCTATTTGCTAGCATTGAGCTTTTGTTAGTGCTATGCTACTATTATTCTTAATATTTGGTGCCAAACTTCATCCATGTTGTTACCGTAGAGATCAAGAGGAAAAGAGCTGAGATAAAAGTTGTAAGAAGAATCTTAGTTAACTTTGTGGGGTTTTGAGCATAACTCAAGTGATGAGTTGAGATAGCGAGGGAATTCTCTATACTCCTGTTCAGATATTTTCATCAAGAGCATTCCAGAAAGATGTCTAGTGTTGCTTTTGGAAAATGTTAAACAAAAACCCAAGAAATGCATATGCAACATGCAAGCATCATGGTTCGGACTTAAAGACTGGACACAGTAAACACTAAATAGTTGTATGATTAGCTTCTTCACTTTGCAACGAACCTAGTGAAGTAGTTGGCTTGTTAACAGCATTTTCTTCTGCTGGTAGTGAAGCAGCAGAATCCAACACTTATCTTTTTTCAGTTATCTGTCATTATTCTTAGTTGTTTCCCTGATGACAATAATTGCTAACGATTGTGTAAAAAAACAATTCTAACTTGAAAGGGTTTATTGATAGTTTATCTCTGTTATGTCTAGTCTAATACCAGAGGCCCAAGGCAACCATGGCATGACTTGCATTGTAAAATCGAGGGTCCAGCTGCTTATGATATATTGAAAAATTTCGAGCAAAGGTGGAAAAAAGCCACAAAATGGCATAGGGTTAAGAAGGTCACCCGCTGGCATGATGATACCTTGATAAAGCTAGACCGGATTTCATGGATACTCACTCCCTCTTCTAGTCCCGATGGTGATAGAATTGTGCATGCCACTGATGAAGGTGATCCTGAGAATTGGCATGTGCAGGTCTGCAATAATTTGTTTTTACTGAAGATAAATTGTATGTGTTAGCCATTTTGATGGAACCTATGGAAATTATGATCATCGTTGTTGCTTCTATAGGTCTTCCGATCTATTGATTCAGGATCTGTGAAGGGATTTCCAAAGTCAACGCAAGAAGCCATGGCTCAGGTTAGAACTAGCTTTATTTAATGCCTGCTAACATTAGAGTTAACCATTCTCTTGATGAGCAGAGGCCAGGTTTACATTAACTAAGTTTATGTTTGTTATTTGAAGTCTATGAGATATCATTCTAGAGCAACCCTACTTCAATAAATTTCTCCTTTTTCTGCAGAATCTTGCGTGTGGAAAGAATTTGAAAGTAGATAAGAGCATTCATACAGCATATGTAAAAGCAATAAGATCAGCACAACACTTCATATACATAGAGAATCAGTATTTTCTTGGATCTTCCTATCATTGGCCATCTTACAAAAATGCAGGTATAGAAAGCATGGGGTTACTGCATTTCCTGGTTAAATGTGACGAAATTTATTGATGCTGACTGCTGCTTAAATTGACACTAAAATTCACACAACGGGTCTCATGCAAGTCATTAAAGTGTTTTAGTTTGTGTTTTGTTGTTTAGTTTGATATCTGATGAGGAAATTTCTCTTTAACTTCATCCTCTGTGAACAGGAGCTGATAACTTAGTCCCCATGGAACTAGCACTGAAAATTGCCAGCAAAATCAGAGCAAATGAGCGGTTTTCAGTGTATATAGTAATACCAATGTGGCCAGAGGGTGTTCCAACTAGTGCTCCTGTGCAAGAAATTTTGTATTGGCAGGTTAGATTAATGTTATTTTGTGCAATAACTATACTTTACATGCCATACACTTCCTATCATAATGAAACACTCTATTTGTTTCTGTACATCACATGGTTGTTCTGTAGCTTCATATCATTTGTGCACGGCTAAGTTAGGTTGCTGGTCATTCCAGCACTCTCTAACGCATAACTCCACCTTTACTTTTTGCTTGTGGACGAGCTTTGCATGATTTGGGTGATGATGTGGCTTCAAGTCCTAAGTCCTACCTCTTTCCTTGAGAAGATGAAAATGGACCTTCTTCTTCTTGTTTTTTTTTTAAGAACAAACAAGTCCTTTTTAGTTAATTTGAACTTTCATGGAAGGTGAAGGTGAAATTTGACAACTATTCCTCAAGACCAAAACATGGGTTCTATGGATAAAAAATACTTTGGTAAGTCTGTACCAAATATGAGTGAGATTCAACCACAGATCGCTTGTTACTATGCCTAAGAACTTTATGGGCTAAACTTTTTTAGCAAATATGGGTGGCAAAATCCTTGAAATTCCGACAATGTCGCAGATTAGACCTTTCCATATAAGGTCGACAAAAGGGTGTAAATTTTTTATCTTCATTTCTAATTTTTTTTTCTCTTTCCACAATTAAATACTTATGCAACTTTGCACTAACCTAAGCTGCGTCTATCATATATTATTTGTTGATAAAAACTTGCAACTGGCATGGTGGCAAATCCAGACACCTTGTGTTATGATTTCTGAAACTAAGTGAGGATTAAATGACTGCAGGGACAAACAATGGCCATGATGTACAAGATTATCGCAAAAGAACTTGAAAGAGCAGGACTTTCCGATCAGTATCATCCGCAAGATTATTTGAACTTTTATTGCCTTGGTAAACGTGAAAATTCTCCACGCATTTCTTCAGAGTTAAATCAGCAGAATGAAAACCGTTCACTGGTATGGCATATATTCTGGGAACTACATAAAAACTTGTTGTTTGACTCTAACATCTAATTAAAGAGCATGTGTTAATGTATAATCATTGTTGAAAACAAGTCACTGCAGAAATATTAGAATTTTCAAGGTGACATGTACATAAAGGGAAAAAGAGAGAAAAGACATGATATACCAATCCGCTAACTGTAGTCTGTACCTTATTTCTTTAGTAGGCCAATTCTTGGAGAACAAAATTTGCGTATTCTTGTTTTGTCAGATTGGCATTATTAATTTTTTTCTTAAATCTTTGTATAAGGTGTCAACTTGGAAATTTGTTTCAATTATAGCTTTCCATCCCTCCAACTTAGGCTTTATTTGCGAAGGAAAAAAAAAAAGTGCTAGTCAATGAAGTGATTCTGCCATTTAGTTTGTGGTTGGTCTGTGATGAATGATGCAAGGACTGATTGTATAAATCATTCTTATCCTTATAACACTTAGAATGACAAGTAGGCGTTCCTCTTGATTTTCTTTACAGGCAGCAGCACAAAAGTTCCGCAGATTTATGATATATGTACATGCCAAAGGGATGATTGTTGATGATGAATATGTAATCATTGGATCGGCAAACATTAACCAGAGATCCTTGGGTGGTTCAAGGGACACAGAAATTGCAATGGGGGCTTACCAACCAATGTACACATGGGCAAGAAAAAAATCTCATCCACACGGACAGGTTTGGAACTTCAGCTCTTGTGTTCAGCGGCAAAACATGTTTTGGTCCTGTAAAACTTTGCAACCCAAGGTTGAAGGGGGCTAGTTGGGGCTAGCATAGCTAATCTGTAGATCATAAGAACATTTGATTCAAGGAAACATTTCAAGGCATGTTTTTTTCATATACTCATAGTTGATTACTTGAGTGCAGGTGTACGGTTACAGGATGTCTCTCTGGGCAGAGCACCTAGGTATTCTTGAGGACGCTTTCAGCGAGCCTCAGCACCTTGAATGCATGAAACGTGTCAATAAAATTTCGAGACACAACTGGAAAGCATATGTTTCCGAGGAGGGTAAAGAGATGAGGGGACACTTGATGCAGTATCCGATTCAAGTGAGCAGAAGTGGAAAAGTGAGTGCATTATCTGATCATGAAACATTTCCTGATGTTGGGGGCAAAGTTCTTGGAGCATCCACCAACCTTCCTGATGTTCTAACCACATAAATTCAGTTAAAGCTTTCAAGTTACAGACTTCACCATGTATAACTTGATTGGAATTTAAGTTTCGTGCAGTGCAGCAGATGCAATAGAAGGAAAGAAACATGAAAATGGGGATCATGCATGTATGTAACAAACAACATTGTTGAAACATCAAACATGTAGAACACACAATGCCAGTAGCAGTAAGTTTGAATTTCGATGATGTTTTAAAAAAATTGGTACAATTATATATTAAATAAAAATGCATTTCTTTGCTTAATTATGTGCTTATTGAACAAAAAAAGGGATCGGATATCCGTATTTCTAGTATTAATTCAGCTTTTTATTTTATATTTTTAAAAACCAAATCAGTATTGCAAAATCTCAACTAATTAGTTGAACAATATTCTTTTGGCACAATCAAACTCACATTGTCATCTACTAATGCTATGTGAATTCCAATGATAGCAGGGATGAGAAAAACAAATCACAATGGTAATAGATATATATATAAAACCTGAAGGCTAAGTCAACAAGGACCGCATAGCGCAGTGGATTAGCGCGTCTGACTTCGGATCAGAAGGTCGTGGGTTCGACTCCCACTGTGGTCGTTTTACACTTTTTTTTTTTTTTTAAAAAGAAGGATTCAGGCAAATCGTAACCTGTCAAAATCCTTTTCCATCCATCTGCCACCAGTTGAGAAAAAAAAAGAAAGAAAGAAAAAACTATAAAAAGATCCGAAGGGGGTATATTGGTCATTAGATACGAAAGAGAGAGTGGAATGTGTGTGTAATTTGGGAGTCCAAATCCCAGCAAAGCAGCAGCAGGGTATATTATAGAGTATTTCTTTCTCTGGAAAACCATTGAAGCAAAGCAGAGCGCAGCATTAGAGGTGGTTAACAGTGAAAAACATTGATAACGCTGATAGGATTAGATTAGATTGGAGATGGTAAGTAATATCTCTTCTTCTTCTTCTTCTTTTTTCTAATAATAAGTTTAATGATATGATTTAGGGTTTGTGAGTAATGGGTTTTGGTGGTTGCAGTTGTTCTTCTCGTATTTCAAGGATTTGGTAGGGAAAGAAGTGACGGTAGAGCTGAAGAATGATTTAGCTATAAGAGGGACTCTTCACTCTGTCGACCAGTACCTCAACATCAAGCTCGAGAACACTCGTGTTGTCGATCAAGACAAGTATCCTCACATGGTACCCTACTCTCTTAAACCCTTATTCTTACATTTCATGTGTTTTCTTTTTCATTTATATTGTTTTTTATTTCATTTATAAGTGTCAGTACAAATTAATTTGGTGAACTATTTTGTAGCTTACATTCTGGGATATGTAGTAGCCTGCTCAAGTGCCGAACTTGAATTTCAACCACATAAAGCTATTTGGTGGTTTGATCATATTGTTTTTTTAGTCATCAACTGACCTTTGGGTTCAAATTAGTAGAGCTTAAATGCTTTAGGAACGTTTGCAATCTTAGCTGATTGTCTGGATCAGTTGGGGCCAAATTAAGGATATATAGTAAACTCTTTGATAGCTAGGAATTTCATCAAGTTATCTAGTGATATAATATTAACTTTTGGCGTTCTAGCAATCCAGTACTTGGCATTTTAGATCATCTAGTGACTTAACCACAATGCTTGAGGTTTTTTTTTTTTTTTTTTTTTTTCCGTTCGATTTTTGAGTCGTCTTGGTGAATCAAAAGTAATGAAATCATCAAGGAGTTAGTCTACCTGAGTTGTGGTTATCTCGATTTCATGTGCTAGCAAATTGTTTTGGCCACCTCCATGTACTTATTCATGGTGATTATCTTGATGAATCATGTTTTTACTTCAAAGTTAGAATGGTCGAGTAAGGCTATGAGCTAGTCAATATTGAGTAAGGCTATGAGCTAGTCAATATCAAGCTCCTTTGCTGCTTCCAACATTGGACTCGAGTGTTGTGCTTGTAAAACAATTGAAACCAAAGGGCAACCCACGTTTGTTTTTTGGGAGACCACTCTGATGCCCAAGTGAGCAAACCTCTCCCACTCTGATGCCCAAGTGAGAAACTTGTTGTCAAGAGAAAGCTCGAGATAGATTTTAAAGCAAATCAGTGAGCATACCCTAAGTTATGCATCAAAACCTCCTCCTTATAGAGGTTTAACTTGCTCATATAAAGTTGGATTATGAGTTGACATACCAGTTAGAGATTATATATAAATCATATCCAGATTAGGATTGCTTTATCACAATCCTTCATGGATTCAAATTCCTATTCTTCTAGAAGATCATAATTATATTATTCCACCTATATCATCAAGTAACTATTTACAAGATTTTTGGGTTTTGTTTTAAGGATGATGATCCGAAGGTGGGTTGGATGACCGAGCTTTAAGAAATCACACTTGCTGGTAGCATGCACGTCGAATAAACATATCACATGTTTTTGGAATTTCATTTTGTGGCTGATTTTATATTTGCGATGGGATGATGATGTATATCTGCTTCCTAGCTTTTTATAAGATAGCACATCTTGAAAAGTTTATGTCTCTGTGCCTGCCACCTTTAATGAGTGTGTATTCTGCTGCTACGATATTCTTTTTCTTATTAATGGAAGAGAGCATTATTTTGTTCTTTGTTTTCTCTTTCTTTTTTTCTTCTGTTTTGAAAAAGATCATTTGGTATTTGGATATTATTTCTACCAATGATCTGGCCAATCATGTATAATTTTGTTATAAAAACATGTAAACTGCTGTCTGCAAATCTAAAAATTCTAAACAGCGATTGCAAAAATATTCATCCATTTCTCCTATGAAATTGTCTTGCAATGTACAAGTTAGAATTGCGAAACTGGGTATTCGCCTTTGCTAGGAGTTCTGCTGTCTCGCCCTCTATATTCATGCATTTTTGCATTCCTATGAAAGCATGCGCTGTTTTCATTGTATAAATGCATGAAGATGTGCATGTCTAGGTGTTCGCAAACACACCCAAAGAATGTTTTCAGGACTAAGATTGTCTTGAACTCTGGTTATTGATGTTGTGACGTGAATAATTTCCCTGGGTTTACTTGTTCAATCTTGTGTTTGCTTCAACTTGTGATTTCCATGGTACTTTACTTTCCCATTTGATAGTCTTGTTCTTTTCAATTTTCTATATGATTGTGCTAGCTGGATCTAATGATATTTTGTTAAATTACAGCTTTCCGTCAGGAACTGTTTCATAAGAGGATCGGTGGTGAGATATGTTCAACTTCCCCCAGAGGGCGTGGATGTTGATCTACTTCACGATGCCACAAGAAGGGAAGCTCGGGGTGGTTGAAAGCCATTTGATAAAACGTTTGCAAGTACTTCTCTGGATATCCAATGTAATTGGTTTAGTTAAAACAAGCTTTCTTCTCATTCTGAAGCTGTATGTTTTTATTGGTGACAATTTAATGAACATAGAAATTAGACTTCCTAGCAATCCAGAGGAAATGCTATTGGGTTGGGTATTGACAATTTAATTGCTTAAAGGAGACGTTTAATGTGCTAAACTGAAGTTAATCATAGCAGAAGATTTTTGAGTGGTGAAAGAAAATTACCATATCTATAGGTTTAATATTGCCATTTCTTCCTATATTTATGTTCTGGCATGTAGGTTGAAGTGTTTTTGGCAACTAGGATATTTGGTCTCCCCCTGCCGCTTTTGGCAGGGCCGAACATGCTTGGAGGCTTCCTCAGACAATCTGATGTCATGGCTTAACATGTTCCACGAATTGAGAGCAACCGGGGACGGGGTACAATTTCTGTGATGGAGATCGGAGGTTGATGATGCTTGATGCCAAATTTTGTTGCTCCCAATCCTCACATAGAAGTGATTAATGTTTATTACAGTGTGCAAGACTGGTTTCTTCTCCAGATTTGCACATGAAAAAAGGGATCTGAACGGCAAAATCTTAAGCTCGCTTAGCCATTTGTAGTTCGGTCAGATGTCCCGTAGGAAGTCTGGCAAGTGCTTGAGGTTATCGAATTAGCGATTTCCATAAATTCAGGACTTAACCAGCGATACGAACTCCTCCCAGCTCTAATTGATGTGTTCAGTGTTGGAGATTTTCACAACTAATCGGCTTAATCCAGCTAGTACGCAGAATCTTTCAAGCACAAACTGAAGGGGGAAATTTAATCTTTTCAAGCATGTAGTTTGCACGATGGAACTTCTATGGAGCACAGAGGCGATGCCAGAGATATTAGTTTAGGCAAAATTAAAAATTGTGTCAAGAACACTTGTGTAAACCATAGTGTAGTAGCATAGCAAAATTATAATCTTTGCGAGAGCAGATGGTGGCCTCTCGAGAAAAACAAAAGACCAAGGAAAAAAAAAAAAAAAAAAAAACCTAATTATTCAAGACCGTACAAGGGCTTTGTAGCATTTGGATGTTGTCTCGGAATATTATGAGGAAGAGAGAACCATACAGAAGAGACGAGATGAACTAAGAGATAAGGACGGATTTATGTTTGGTGTTGGTGTAAAAGACATTCTAATTATCCATCTGTTAATGAAAATAATAATAATAATTTTGACCAAATAATAATAATGAAAACAAAGGCATACCAGCATATTAAACCTAAACTCATTTAAATTAAGACATGACAATGAAAATAAAGAACAACACATATCAATTCTAAGGAGGAAAACAAGGAAAAAAAAAAACAGGCCAATCATAATTCGATAGCACACTGGTAAACAAGTGTTGACTTGTAAACTTACTCTAGGATTTGATTTTTGTAGTCAATAAATTTATTGCTAAAAAAAAAAAACCGAGGCCATAATGGACATTACATAGTTTATCATAGTTGGTTTGGCTTAGTAATAATTGATAGTTTTTTTTTTTTTCCCAATATCTTCATCTCACATTAAAAATAAAAATAATTATATTTGTAACAAAAATAATAAAATTTAACTTCTTCTAATAAACACGTTTGATGATGACTAGCTCGCTTATCAAACCACCAACTTATAGGTGTTTTTTAATAAATAAAATCGATTCATAAAATAGCTGAATCAAATACAAGCAACCTGTAGAGTCTTTAAAGGTGATGTGCCACCCAATTTGAAGGTAGCAATGTAGATTTATATATCTTGAAGGGTGAAGGGGATGGTGCGTGCACGAGAAGGCACAAAGCAGTACTTCTTGCTTTTAGATCTTACCAAGTTCGGCAATGACTTGAATTAGAGGAATAAAAGCTGTATTTTGTTGTATTAAGAGGTTTAGTGATGCTGGTACCAGAGGCCTTGTGGTGTCGATTTATTTATTTATTTTAACAAAAAATAGTTATGTGATTTTAATTTGTGGGACTGTTTTATTTTATCCGAGGAGTTTGAATTAGTCTCTCCAGATCCAAAAAAAAAAAAAAAAAAAAAAAAACAGAGAGAGAAGAAGAAGAAAAGGTAGTTTGTCTTTTCAGAATTATGGTCCTGTTAAAAAAATATTTTTGCGATACGTTCCGTTTGGTAAAAAAAATATATAATGACATTTCTAAGTGCAATTGAGTGTTTTAAGTTTGGATTTTAAAACACCGTCAGTCTTTGCATCTATAACCAATTTAATTTTTCGCTAGTTTCCAATTTTTTTAAAAGAGAGAGATATGTGCTGAATTTTTATTAATTCTAATTTAAAAAAATAATTAAAACATGAAAATTTGATTGAATTTTCAAAAATAAAAATTGTTTCTTTTTTATTTTATGCTGATTATTTTTTTTAAAGAAAACAAAAAATAAAAACCATTTTGTTATTTATTTATTTATTTTTACTGGCTATTATTTTTATATTTTATTTTAAAATTCAAAGAAAAATATCATGAAAGAAATAAATTTATGTGAGAAAATAGAAAAATTTGAACATTGATTATTAAAATAAAAAATTATACTTGTGAAAAATTATAAATGTACCACAATCAAATATGAGATATGTGGCCATTGAAGATATAGAGATTAAGAAGTTGGGGTTGGCAAAATATATTCAAAAAAATTTATATATTCCTAAATTTTTAATTGCATTCTATTTATTCCTAAAAATAATTGAAATGTTCAATATGTTATTTCAATCAATTTTTTTGGTTAAATAATTTTTTAACCGAAATGCCTCCGTTTGAAAGACGAAAAAATTTTAAAATAAAATACATAGATTATGTGACTTTAACTCGTTTATTTTTTATTTTTTTTGTATTTTAGTGAATAATAATACAGTAAAAAAAAATTATGGTCTGAAAATTTGATTAAAAAAACATATGAAACATTTCAAAATTTTTCAGATGCAATTGAAAATTTAAAAATAGATAATTTTTTTTTTAAATATTATATAAGCACAAATAATTATAGTTACCCATATGTGTGTGTGGAATTTGGATTCCAAGATGATGATATATAATTTTAATCTAACACGGTATAAGAGGCTTTAATTAAATATTACATCCAAAAGTGTTTCCCTTTCTCTTACTTTAAGCAGCCAGCCTTGCATGAACCAAAAAAGGGAAAAAAAGAAAAAAGAAAAAAAAAGGTAGGCTTGCATGAGGGACACTTGGAATTTTAGATGCTTAGAGTAGCAAAATGAATTTTTTTTTTTTTTTTTTTATTGAGAAATGAAGACAAGCAACCTTTGCAAACATTGTCATGGCCCAAGTGAGGATTTTCAATAATAGGGTTGGAGACATGTTGGATTTTATACGGTATGGAGTTTTGTTGTCTCCTTGTGCACTTTATGTGTAGGAGTCGGCTGGCTTCTTCACCACTTTATTATAACCTTCTCTCCCTCTCTTTCCATCTATATTTATTTAACCCAAAATATCATAATTTATCACCAACTTGCAAACCCTTTACGTGCAATTAACTCTCCCTTCTCCCTTCATGTTCTACTAAGAAAATCCCATCATTTTGAATGCTTCTTCCATCTTTTGCCCCAAAAGAAACCTAGCTATAGTTTCCTATATTCGACCACCATTTATTCCAAAAAAGCATATCTTTGAGCTTAGACACCACATTGCCAGTCATAATTTACAAGAAGTACAGCTTGTTTCTACCTAGCTAGTACCTTTTGGTCTTTAAGACTTTCTCCTATTTCGAGAAATGGATACCACACCCACCCTTAATGCCAACTAAGCTAACACACTCCATTGGTCTGCCTTTATGGATCCAGTTCATACCCTGAAGGCAGTCATGGACCACTACGTCTTAACATCTTGCGCAGTTTTTTTGGTCCAAGTTTCATTTTAAGCCATACTAGTCAATGTTTAGTACATGGACTTTTGTTAGTTATTAACCAATAAAAATCTCAAGAGATGGTTAAAAGGATTTGTTTGCTCCATTGATTTTCTAGTTTCAATTTTAGAGATTTTGCGTTCTTAAGTTATGAAGTAGTTCGATGATGGAATTTAATTTTGATTAATACATAAAATAATTTGATAATATCTCTACAATCGAATTAAGAAAAAAAAAGATGGAATTTTAACCCTTTGGAACAAAAAGAAAAGAAATTTAGGTTTATATCATCGATCTTTAAAATTTCACTAAATATTGATTTAATTTTTTTAGAAAAATAGAGTGATCTATTTGTTTAACTTGGTCAACTCCTCTAATTTATTGTTACCTAGAAAAAAGAAAGAAATAAATAAAATAAACCTTCAAGGGAATTGATAAACAAACAATAATCAGTTTTTCCTTTTTTATAATGTTTAACATCACTCTAGTTATTATAATGGACAAAAAAAATTTAGATTTTGTAAGAAGTTAGAAGCTAAAATAGAAAAAACAAGAAAAAAAAAAGGGATTATGTGAAACTCAATCATCAAGGGAAATAAAAAGAGAATATTACTCCACTTGTCTATATTTTCAATCCAAGTCCATTGAGAGAGAGAGAGAGAGAGGTCCCCTTCTCTCTATTAAGGGAAACCCATAAAAAAAAAAAAACCCTAAGACAGAAAGAAACAGTTCAGTTGATTTGATTCTCATCTCTTTGTTTTGAATTGCATTTAGAGATCTCAAGCTCTTGAATCCACCAAAAGGTAAAAACTTTTTCTCCTTTTTCAATTTTTTTGCTTCCAAACGAATCTGTTTTGGTTTTTGATTTTAATCAATAAAAGTTGAGATTTTGATTCGATTTTTAGCTCTTTTTTTTATCACACATTGCTATAATTTGTCAAAATAAATCACGAATTTTGTTCCTTGTTTTGTTTCAGATATTGCATGCCTCTGATTGTAGAGTATTTCTTTCTTTTTTCTTGTTTGGTTGCTGTGAAAATGTGGAAATCAAGAGAAATTGCTAATATTAAATTGTGGGTTTCTTTTCTTTTTTGTCTGGGAGCTGGAAAAACGTGAACTTTACTTTCAGATTAACAAAAATCAACAAGTCTGTTTATTTTAGAGTGTAATACTGAAATTTCTTTTCTTTTCATGGCAACAATCAGAGGGCTGTAATGTAGTGTTTTTCTGTTGAGTAGCTGTAAGGAAATGTTGTTTACATTTTTCTTTTTTCTTTTTCTCTGTTTGTTTTTGGATTTGTAGTATTGTTGTTTTTTCTGTTACATGTGGAAAATTATGTTTTGTAATACTGCATATTGATCTGGCACCAATTTTTCCAAAAAGGGTCACCAAAATTGAAATTGATTAGATGGATTCAAGTCTTTTCTGGAGTTTTAGTCGAGTAACCATGAGATGAACAGCAGAGCTATAGTGTGTTCATGTGTCATTACTGTAGATTTAATGCGTGGAAGTTCGGAAGATAGCACATGAGTTGCTTTCAAGGTCTGAGTTCATCTTTCGAAACCTTGTCTTATTACGAGTGTCAGCCTAAATCTTTGATCACCAAAATCCCATGGATTTTAACTGTTGATTACTAAAGTTTCATTCTGTAGCTGAATTTGGGGCATGTGATTTATTTATTTGTTTTTCCTGTTTCTGGTCTGGTATTCTATTGTTAATATTTCTGCCTTGAATTGTTGAGAATGTAGAGAACAAATTTTGGCGGATAGATGTTTTCCCTTTCTTGTTCATTTGTGGTTTCTTATCTTATAGAATATGGGTTTTATGAACTTTATTGTGAGGTTATCTATCTATATTTCTCTCTAAGGCTTCTGTGATGGATGTGATTGATGGACCAGGGAACATTAGAAAAATTTATTTTTTGATCCTCCAGATTACCATTAATTACCCTGATTTGTTTCCTATATAAAATTCTTTGACAGTTACTGCTAGTGCTTTGTCGATGGCAAACTCCAAGGGGTCAGCAAACATAAGAAATTTGATGTACTCGGGAAAGCATGCATTACTTCCTCCAAAAAGTCCTTTTCCTATTATTTCTCCATCATATGTTGATCATGTTCCCAGCAGCAATGTTGGATCAAAAACTGTTCAAAAGCCTAGAGAGGGAAAGACACATCACCAGCGAACTTCCTCTGAGACTCTCTTCATAGAGGATCAGCCTTCATGGCTTGATGATCTTCTTAATGAGCCGGAGACACCTGTCCGCAGAGGAGTTCATAGGCGTTCATCAAGTGACTCCTTTGCGTACATAGATATAGCTAATGCTTCTAACATAGATTATGCAGCACAGGATGAGTACAGATATAAAAATGTGATGTCTATACCTTCTTGGGGATCTCAAGACTTTGATTATTACAAAGATGTTAGGCAAACTTCTCTCCATGCTGAACTGAACATGACAAAAAAGAAGAACAGGGCTTGGGATTCATCTTTAAATGCCCCAAACTATCCAAGTGGCCTTTCCTCTGCCAGGGAGAATGCTGTTCTGCAGAGTTCAGGGTCATCATTTGCCCCGCGGGAAGCAGATGGTGTTTCAGAGAGTGAAAAGCAAGATCCACTCGATGGTCCACATGATCCAAAAATTTCATCCGAGAAAAAGGAGAGTTCAAATTCCAAGTGTTCTGCATCAGAGACTGATACAAAACGTGCTAAACAGTATGTCCTTTATTATTTTTTCCTCATTATTCAATAACTTTATGCTTACTTTGATATATTATTTAGACATCAAGCATGGATCAAGTCACACTATGAGTGTCATCATTTAATCTCATTAGTGCCCCCCTCTTCTTTCTGTGTTCAATACATGTTTTATTGATATACTGGATGGATCGAGCCCCAGTATTGGTATCCTAATGCTTATTATTGTAAGGATGCATAATCAAGGGCTACTAGCTTAACACTTATAGGTCTTCTAGGAGTTGTCGCATCTATAAAGTGGAAAATCCAATCATCACACCTAGGTTACTTAGACATACCTTGATAGATTGCATCACACAACCTTAAAGCATAATTGCCGAAGAACTCAATTCATAAACTCTGATTCGTAATATGAAGCATTGCAAGTACGGATATTTATAGACTCAACACACTCCCAATCAGGCAGTTAAATCCTACTAAAATGGAACCCCAGATGATCTTTACAGTATTAAGCTCAAAAAAAGACTCAAATTTCCAAAATAAAAATAGAATAATACAAGGGGAGCCCCAATGCCCCATTTTCATGGTCACATTATTGTGATTTCCGTCTTTATTAATAGAGTAGATACATGCAGTAAGATGTTGAAAAAATATCCAGACAGGCACTGAGGTGTTTATTAAAGCCGTATTAACATTTTATTAATGCCTTATTAACATTCTACTGGCCCAAATTTAGTGGATGCAAAATAATTACATGATTGGAGTTTCTAAAAGAAAGGGGTATGGTCAAGGGCAGGCCCTATTGGACCCTTTAAAGGTCTTAGGTTGAAGTTGGAGAGATTTTTGTCATTTTATTTTGTGTGGAATTAATAGGTTTTATGTTTGGAATCTCCGATCTCACTGTGATGATAGATGATAATGCTTCTACCATATGGAGGGAAAGAAAGGAAAAAAAAGAACTGATATGTCATGATTTTTTTTATCAAACATGATGGGTGTCTTTCCATTCTACTATTGAGCTGAAAGAATCATTTTCAAATAGGGTGAAAGTGAAACCAAGCATAACTATTGAAGAAGAAAGGAGCTAGCAATCCATGCATAACTCAGGGGTGCATATATACTTCTAAGAGGTCCGTTGCATGAAAACAACCATTTTCTTTTCATCAATTTGAATGGTTGATGTCGAGGGGCTATAGCTGTTACAAATTACATTATCTTTCCTTTGGACAGGAGCCAAGTTGTCCCGTTTTTTCTTGGGACGCAAACATCTAGTCCATTAGGACATATGACATAGGACGTATGACACTTTTGTTGCATGTAGGTTTTCAAAGCTCGTATTGATAGTCGATTAACAATGTTACAGATGAAAAAAATCATATCGCAGCTCATTCTGTCTAGTACATATTAACTTGTGATCAACTATCATTCCTGTCAGTTGTGAAGAATTGTGACTGTTCTTTGGTAGATTCAGATAAGATCCTATTCTTTCCTAAAGGTAACTCTTTAACATGATTTTTCATCTGTTGACGAGGATGAGTTTTTTCCTTCTGCATTTTCTACTTGGCTTGCTTAATAGTCATATCTGTGGACGGCACATAGCTTTATCTCTCAGAGCTGAATATATGAATATATTGTGGCTTTATCTTTCAGAGTTGAATATATGAATATTTTGTGGCTTTATCTCTCAGAGTTGAATATATGAATATTGTGGCTTTATCTCTCAGAGTTGAATATATGAATATTGTGGCTTATGCTCTTTCTACATTTCTGATCTGTCAATAAACAATCTACAATTTGGTATTATGGCTATTGCTCATGCTTTTGGGTGTTGCTGTTTGGTAGTTATTTTTGGAAACTTGTTTGTAGAAGCTAGAATAACTACTTGTAATACGAAGGATATGCAAAGTTGAGAAAGTTCATGCACTCTGGAATGAGTTAAACGGAAATGCTTTTGTTAATAAGGCTTAAAATGATCTCCATTGCAGGCAATTTGCTCAGCGCTCCAGGGTCCGAAAACTTCAGTACATAGCTGAGCTGGAAAGAAATGTACAAGCTTTGCAGGCAAGTATCTCTCTGCAGAAGCTGAAGTGAGGCGTAATTTTCTATTTAATTTGTGAGGGTGTTGAATGAATTGCCAAAATTGTCTGATGTCATAACTATATTTTGTACTCCACAGGCAGAAGGATCTGAAGTTTCAGCCGAGCTCGAATTTGTCAATCAGCAAAATCTCATTCTAAGCATGGAGAACAAAGCTCTTAAGCAACGGTTAGAAAATTTGGCCCAGGAGCAGCTTATCAAATACTGTAAGTTCTAATTCTTGACTTCTTGACAGTTAAGGTGTTTGAAAAGAGTTGAGTTTTTGCCCCATTTAGTTCATGTTGCTAACATATGAAACTGATAAGAGTCAATGATTGCTTTCTCCTATTCTATGCCACTGAACTTTCCAAGAAAGAGGGTCAGACACATCATGGAAGTGCACATTGAACAGAAAAGGATATTGAAGAAAAATGTTATCCAACATTTTTAGGGGATTTGTTTTATGGATTTTGTGGAGAATAATAATCAAATAGTCGGCTTGGCAGAAGGTTCATAAAATTTGTGAAATATTCATATTTGGGGAGGGGAAGCATCAACATGTTAAAGTTTCTAGATGTTAGTGAATATAATAAAACTGCATTTTGAGGCCTCACCTAACAGTTTAAGCTTGACTTTTAGATTGAGTGGTTCTTGACATGTTACTAGATCTCATTAACCAAGTGGTCAGGAGATCAATCTTACCACCCTCATTCTTTCTTCTAATGAAAATAAAAATTTCAAGTGTTAGGTAGTGTGGGCCTGTGCAAGTTTCAAGCCCAAAGGGCTTTCACTTGAGTAGATATGTTGGTGAATATAATAAGACCATATGCTAGGGGCCTCACATAACAACTTAAGCAGGTTGAATGGTTCTTTGGCATTGGAAGGACTAAAGGCAGGGTTCTAGGATTTACTTTTAATGATGAAGTCAGTGGTACGTTTTTTCCATGTAACAAAAAAATTGGCAATATCTTTTTCTCGAATGTCTGGTAGAGATTCTTATAGAGAATTTGATCTTTTGGAAAGTGTCAACTCTTTTGTATGATTTTTACAACCTGAAATGGATATTCTTATAGCTTTGCCTCTTAGAATCAGTTTGTGCTGCTATTACCGGTCAATAATATTGCTGTTGGGTTCTCTCAAGTAGCCAAGGTTGGATGGCACTGACGTAGGCCTTGGGTTTCAAAATTTCATATCAAAGAAAAGTGGATCCATGTAACTTCAACTAGTTTTGGATTGAGTCATTGAGGTTTGGTTGAATTTATCTTACCAACAACAAAAGTAGTGGGTAAATAACATTCCCCAGCTTTCCTAAAATAATTAAAATTATCCAGCTTTGCTTCAACAGAATGTGTCCTTACACTTGAGCTTGTTATTTATAACAGAAGATTGTCAACAACCTTAGTTTAACTTCTGTTTCATTAATTTTTTGTTGGGCTGATTAGCAGCTGTGCTCACCTATCTTCAGCTTGAAAGCATAATATTTTCTTTGTACTTCTACTTTTCTTGAGCTTGTTGATGTATTTGCACACACATGTGCGTCTGTATTCTGTATGCATTTCTTTATCTTGCCATAATGTTCTGCAACCTTTTAGAAGATTTAGTGAGAACGAGCAGGAAGATGGGGTGGGCAGCTCACAAACATCCTTTGCTTCACATGAATCGGCCTTTTGTTGGGTAAAAGTTTACAGGAACCTGTCATGTTTGGATTTGTCTAAGCTAAGTATTAGTTGATGGTAGAAAATAGAGTACGATACAAACTGTTCCTATCTTTCAAAGTGATCATGATTTCTTAGCTGTGTCATGATGGACACTCGGTTGCCATGTGTGGCATAGGAACATGTCGCTGAAATGTATCATTTTGGCAAGGGTTTTAGTCACAACAGATTGCATAGTATGCAACTGAAAGATTTCTGATGATTATGGCAAGAGTTTGGAAAAGAATTTTAGTATATGCCTTGCTACTGTTTTCTGTTACTTGAGAGGGGTTTGACACTGTGGGGGTGGAGAATGTGCATGGCAGAAGCATGATTTGCTGAGAATGTGCGTGGCAGAAGCATGATTTGCTGCTTCTTGAAAGCACTGGTTTCCTTTTGGACAGTCCTTTGATTCTGAAAATTTGGGGTTATAGAAGTGATGTAGCAAGATGACCGAGATAAAAACAACAAATGTGCATTGAGAATGAGATTATTGATCTGCCTCATTATGAATGGAAATGCTTTTAAATATTTATTAATTTTTCATGTTCTCACTGCTTCTAAACTTTTTGAGGGTGTTTTCAGTGGAGCATGAAGTTCTGGAGAGGGAGATTGGAAGGCTACGAGCTTTGTATCAGCAGCAGCAGCAGCAACCTGCTTCAAGCCATCGCCGTAGTAACAGCAGGGACCTTGATTCCCAATTTGCAAACCTCTCTCTGAAACATAAGGATGCCAATTCTGGCCGAGACCCTGTGACTGGTTCACTTCGCATTTAGACAAGTTTTAGCCAAGTGATTTGTTGTGCCACTACTTTGCCTGAGTCGTGCTTGCCAAGTCTAGCCATGACATGTGACCATAATTGTTGCTACCATTGAGTGGGATAAAGCTGGGTTAGGCCAACTTTCATCCTGATTCGCACAATTTGTTTTTCTGTTCTTTCTTGCACTTTGGTAATTTGATAATTAATATCTTCATGAGCACCTGGTGGTCATTGATCAGGCAGAGCAGATGACTTACCGGAGGTGATAACTAAGAGAGGTTACTATTTTGGCCTCTTCTGTATGTTCAAGTTATCAGAAATCGGAAAATTTGTATTCATTTCTGATCCATTTAGAATATACTCCTTGGAATATAATTTAGCTGCGAGGGATCTTTAGGGCATGTTGGATCTGCAGTGTCTGTAATGTGTCATTCATTGGAAACTCTTTCTTGTAAAATCTGTTCAATGAAATCCATGTTTGCTTCCTGCACTGTTAAAATGACGAGAAAGGCTATTTTGGTCTGGACGCTTCAAATTTATAGAATTGCTTTTGCTTGCTTGATGCTCTGCTTAGTATTACTTGTAACACTATTGAATGCAATTCACCGTCGAAATCCGAAGTCAACGCTTCTGAGCAAAGCTGAGCTTATATGGGCATGGTTTCAATTGACGGCTTTTATGTTAATTACGGTTTTGGGCACTTTTATTTTCGTGATTTGCACTTACAGAATACCCGTCACTGTTTTAAATAAATAATGGTGAGTAATAAAGTTGTTATTGTTATATAATGTTGTTATTTACCAAATAATGATGTTATATTAACAAAATTTTATTTTCCTATTCTACAAAAGTAAACATTTACAACACCATGCTTAGGTTGGGGTGTTGTTTGAACCGTGTAAGATCAACGGAACCTTAATTGCTTGGCCAGCAAGCCCAAAGAGATTTAGCAGCGGAATATTTTTGTCTCCCCTCGGTTTTTGTGCTGACCACTTATATTGGTCCTAGGTGGTCCATGTTTTCATTTGATTGAAAACTTACTTTCTTAAAATTAAACTTTAATACACAGATAATATATCGTTGCCACAAATTTCTTCTATGGGTTCCACATTAAAGAATGCATGAAGTTTCGATGAAACTTCATGGCTGAAGTTTCTGGAAATTTCCTAGGGTTAAATGGACCAAGAATAAGGATGAACATCTTATTATATCTCTTGGTGGTTAAATTATTTATGTTACATAAACATGATTTGCATCATAATTTTCTAGATAAAAGTAAGATTAATCCTGAGATTGATTTGTATTAATTGATAAAATAATCATCATGATAATAAAATATGATATTTTATATATCGTTAGCTATTCTTCGATATGTTGATATATAAATACTTACTTTATTGAAAGGATTTAAATAATGAAAATCTGGAGGCTAAATGGTTTCCTTTATATTTTTTTACATTAATGCCAATTTATTAAATTAGTATTAATGTTTAATCAAATCAAGATTCCCATACTATTTTTTTTAATTCTACATTAAAGAATATCTTCAAACCAACTTATACATAATCAACATTAAGTTTATTAATTTCTCAAATGATTGTAAACGCACACCCCCCAACCTTTGTTTAATGCATTAATTTAGAAAATTTTAATAAATTTCTTAAATATTAACTCAAAATCTGATATTCAAGAATATTAGCATTTTTTTTTTGTTTTTTTTTTTTTTTGTTATGAGGTTTCACCATAAGACTGCTCTAATGGTTGCTAAAAATAGAGATGACCCAGGAAAAGAGAACAGTAAGATCCCAGAAAAGTCTAATCAATCACGGTGGTCGGAAGATCATTTACCTCCACAGAAGGCCACACCTGACGCAGCATGAAAGCAGCTTTCAAGATGTAGATTGAAATGATTGCATCTCCTTTCTCTTCTTTTTCTTTTTTCTCTTCCTTTTTCTTTTTTCTTCCTAGTGTGTCTACGCTGACTGAAATCTTATGAATGTATCTACGACACTCTGACAAAAGGGACCCTCATGCGCAGACAAAAATATTAGGACCAGTCTTCCATCACCTTATTAGGTAAGTTAATGGATCTTTCTTAGAAAAATATTAACTCTTTTCTTGTTCCTTAGATTTAATAAGCTTATTAAAAGTCATCTCGTTTTGAACTTATCTACTGAAAGGTGACGTTTTGTGGACCACTGGAGATTCCATTATTATTCATGGAAATGTCGGTATAACTGTAGTTGCTGTCTCAAAAGGCAAGTTTCCTTACGTGGCAAATAAACATGCAAGTACATTACGTCCGACAATAAAAATGAAAGGTTTTTTTCTTTTTTCTATTTTACAGCGAAAGGGGAGCGTCTGCATTAAGATGTTAATAGCAGTTTGATCAAAAAGTGTGAACTTGACTGTTGCGGGTTTATATTGAAATATTAATATCTTTTTTTCTTTATCTTTCAAGATATTCCGGTTTAAAAATCTAGGACAATAAAAAATAATTATTCAAAAAATTATATAAAAATTCGAATTTAAAATTATTTACTTAGAGGATTAAAACTTCTTTCACTCAAGTAACCTGTTCAATGATATTAATAGCGTTTTGATCTATAGTTAGTTAAACACAAGTATTTGGGTACCTTGTATATATATATATAAATACAGCGTCTCTCATCTATGAGTTTGTTGCTTAGATTATAGCTGATCTTCTCCCAGCACTCCAACTTTCTGTCTTCAAAAGAATGGAGCAAATACATCTCTTCACCAAGAAACTAAAACCAACCCATATCAGCCATACTCTATCAGTTCCATCCCATGTCCTTAAGGCTTTTCAGATGCCTGAAGGAACCCATATGATGAAATTTGAAGCAGTCGATGCTACTGATAATGTGTGGAGGTTTAGTTTATCAACCCGTCTGACTGGAGTGTATCCAAAGCCTGTTCTTCTCCGCTCTTCTTGGCTTCCTTTTGTAGTGCAGAAAGGTCTTGTTCCCAATGATAGGGTTGTTTTCTATATGGAGAGGGATGAAGCTAATGAGATGATCAGGAGCTACACGGTTAGAGCTCAACGAAAAGTCATGCACTTGATGGGTCAAGATATTTGGGTCGACGTCGAGGATCTGCCTCTACAAGTTGCAGGTGATACGAAAACAGTCTTGTCCACTCCATTAGTATTTATGAATGTTTAAGGTTGTGCTACTAGGCTACTGGTTTGTCCTTACGAGTCTTGTTGGATTGCTTCTGTCTGTCTTGTTGATCTAGATACCCTTTGTCAACCAGTTCTATGTGAACGTCTTGTTTGGTTTTCAAGTTTGTACCCTTTTCTATGCCAACCTGTTCTGTGTAAACATCTTGTTTGGTTTTCAAGTTTGTTACCTCGTGCCATGAGCTTTCAATCCAGTGAAGCCAATAAAAAGCTGACTACTTTTTCCAAGCGCCATGCAAGTGAACAACGATTGTACTTTCTTTTTTCCCTTGGTGCTAGACTACTGCTAGCACTGCTGCTTCTAGTACGGTTTTATGTTTCCTGATGCAACGATCTACTGGATCACTGATCGTGGGTCCTCTGTATACCCTTGTTTGTAGACAATTTTCAACATGTCATCTCAGCCAACTTTTTTTTATTTTTTCGTTTCCTTTATGGATTTTTATAAAAAACCTCGTACCCTTTTTTGTTTTTCCATTGTAAAACCGTGATTTAGGCAGGATACTCGAAGGAATTAAATAAATTTCGGATATATGTAACGGTCAAATGATTTCTAGTATTTTGGATTTTGCATGGTCAATGACGTTGGCTACACAGCAGAGACATCTTCATTAATTCTTGAAGCAATCCCAAGTTAGAAATTGTAATTAATTATAATGTTAAAACACTTGCAATAACTAATAGTTTCGGGCCACTATTTGGAGTTTCTAAAGAAGATTTCTGTTGTTTTCTTTGTCTAGTGTTTCTTAAATTGGTACAAACTAGATTGCATAGGTACGAAATTATTATTAGAAATAATGGATACAGAAGTAGGTTATTATTTGATAGTTAGTGTTTAGATCATGAGATCACTATTAAATTTTGTTATGGCAAACTATACACGCAAGCTGACGGCAAAACTCAAGTCTCTTTCAAGTTGTTGACTTGTTGTCATACATCCGCCTATCCTATCCAGAACAGAAGAAATATCAGTGCAGTTGCCTAACAAAAAAACCCTAATGTATATGTAGAATTGGTCTAGAAGAGGTTTACAACTCAAATTTACCATGTAAAATGATGGTAAAACAAATGATGGATATGCATCCTACTTGGATGCAAGGGCTTGTACAGAAGATAAAACTGCTTCTTCTCCAAAACTATTAACTCCTAGTTCATGTGGAGACAATTTTAGAGCAACAATGGGAAAAGAAGTATAAAAGGAGTAGCAGAGGTGTTATGCCCCTTGTTGGGCAGCCAGGGGTATTCATCCGGTTGAGGCATGACAGATTCATCACCGTTAAATGAAATCTATCTAGCGAAACCCTAAGCTTCTCTGAAAGTAAAACTCACAGGATCTTTTTGCAGGATCTTCCCCTTATTACATCCAAAAATGGGAAAAAATCTTATAAACTGGCAAACCTGAATGCCTCTAATCCCTCACAATAAAGATTAACACAAGGGAATAACATGTTAATGAAGAGCAAAAAGAAGAAAAAAATTGTTGTAGAAAATAATGAAACATAATTAACCGCAGCTTACATGATTTGTACAGGAACCTGCAAGAATAAGATCCCATTTGATGGTTATGTTGCCAAAAGGATCTAGTGGATCAAACCCATCTGCAGAAATCGATTGAAATTCACTACATTTCTGTTCATGATTACCAAAATTCCACAAAATGATTTTAAAAAAAACGTACGTTGGAAAAGAAGAGGGTACTTGCAAGAAGGTGAGATGGAGGCTATGAGAGAGAGGAAGAAGATCAAAAGCAAGATCATACTAATTAATCTTTATTCAATTAAAAAGGAAGAAAAGAAAAAAAGGGCTTGAAACCTTCAAGAAAAACATGAAAGCTATGGGGCTGTTTATAGAGGAGTTCTTGCTAGCAGAACAGTGGTTGCAGTGAAGCAACTTGAGGGAATTGAACGCGGTGAGAAACAGTTTCGGATGGAGGTTGCAACTATAAGTAGCAGTCAACAATTGAATTTGGTCAGATTGATTGGGTTTTGCTCCGAAGGGCGTCACAGGGTTTTAGTGTACGAGTTCACGAAAAAAGGATCTTTAGATCAGTTCTTGTTAACAACTGAAGTCAGGGAAATTGTTCAACTGGAAGTACAGGTGCAACATTGCTCTTGGGACTGCAAGAGGAATCACATATCTTCGTGAGGAATGTCCAGATTGCATTGTTCATTGTAAACCAGAAAACATTCTTTTGGATGAGAATTTCAATGCCAAGGTTTCTGATTTTGGCTTGGCAAAGCTTTTTAGCACAAAGGACCAAAGGTAACCATCCTTGAAAAGCATCAGAGGCACTAGAGGGTATTTGGCACCAGAATGGCTGGCAAACCTGCGTATAACATCAAAATCAGATGTTTACAGTTATGGTATGGTTTTGTTGGAGATTGTGAATGGGAGAATGAACTTTGAAGTCTCAGCAGAAATCAATTAACTTTCTCTTCCACCTTCGAAAACCTAATTAAACTCAAGTAAAGTAACAGAACCACAAAATTAATAGTTGCCGGAGACTGTATGACTCACCGAAATCTCGAATTTACCGGTGGATCGAGTTAGGGTTCCGTTTAAATGAAAGACGATAGGTCTCAGTCGAGAGAGAGAGAGAGAGAGAGAGAGAGAGAGATTTGAGTTTTTTGTGTTTTCTCACTAAAAATGAAAACGTATGCTTATTTACTCGTCTGATGTAAGAGAGCGAGACAGACACGCACGCACATAAGAAATGAGGGATGGTGATGGAATTTGAAAATGTGGGGTAAAGGACACGTGGATTGCTTGCATACGTCTGAAAAAAAGTAGAGTGATGTTAAAGTGCGCAATAGAATTGCGATAGGGGATTTTATCACAGTTGGATTTGCAGGAGGTGTTTTGGTTGAATGGTATCGATTAGGGCTGTGAGAAAGAAAGAGTAACAGGTGGAATGATGAGAATCGGTTGAGTGTCGATTGCGTAAAATCCGAAAGTTATAGAGCCTCAGTATTTATCTTGGTGAGGAACACTTGGAAGGAGTGAGGCAGTTACGTAGGGAGGGAGTCTATGGCTATTAATCAGGAGTTGGTGATTTGGGATTATCTTTTTCGTCCGTTAGATTAGAGACCTTTTTTTCCGGGCTGTCTATTTAGATTGTATTAATTAGATATTTATAATACATTACATTCAGACAATCGCTACATATATAAAGTTAATAATTTATATAATCTTATCTTTAATAATCAATATAAATTAAATTTATATATTGAATAAATTTGATTTATATATATTTATTAAGAAAATAGTTAATAATATTATCATAAAAATTTATATTTGAATAATTAAAATCTTATTTCAAAATATTATTTAAATTATTTTATTTTAAAATATAAAAAAATAAATAACAACAATTGTTATGTATATATATATACACAAACGGATGGATCTACTATTGGAAACTTTGAGGAAGATGGATAGGAAAAGCAGAGAGAGAGAGTTATACTTATGCTTACTTGAAACTAATAAAATCGGATTTGGTGGGGGTTTCAATGCATTATTTATTTATTTATTAATCATGTTTTACTCGTGGAGTATTATAAATTTGCAACAATTTTAGTCCTATCCTAATATACTATAGCTCGCACATGGCGGATTTGCCCAGCCATGTTGTTTTTGTTTTTTCTAATGCAAGCCTTTGCCAATGATTTTTTCTTTATTTTGGTTATTATTATCCTAATATACTATAGCTCGCACATGGCGGATTTTCTTTTTGCCTGCACCCGCTGGCCTCCTTTTTTTTACTTGTTTATTGTTCATTTGAATAGTAAACGGCTTGCTCTTTTTTTTTTTTCTAAATATTTTTTTAATTTCCATCCGTTTACTATTCACATGAACAATAAACGGCTGGCCTCTTTTTTTTTCCCTAAACATTGAATTTTTTTTAATTTTAATTTCTTAATAATATTAGGTATTAAAATTTTAAAAGAACCAACAATTAATTGGGTGTTAAAATTTTAAAGCTATTGTTCTTTTGGTTAAACTCATAGATGTGTCTTTTATTTAAATAAAAAAGAGTTTGGGTGTGTGTATTTAAAAACAAAAAAAGGAGATCGAACAGAAATAATTTTGATTTTTAGTCTCGATTTTTTTTTACAATTTTTTTTTAAACTAAACTGAAATTATTAATTTGATTTTTTAATTTTAATTGAATAATGCTCACCCCTGCTTAAAGGGGACTCGAGATTTCTAAAAATGTGAATGCATTGATGTTGATGTGTATGCCGTTGTTTGGGGTCCACATAATTGCCGATCATGGGATGTCCAGCTCCTTCACTCTTTTCCTCCTCCTCCTCCTCCTCCTCCTCATCATCATCATCATCAATACGGATTCTATTGTTTCAATCGATTGCAACATATATATTAGCATCGCATGCATAGTAAGAATTAGGAGTGCTGAATGCATGCAAATTATTGACTTCACTTTGCTCCAATCTTGATTATCAAGCTTAATTTTAGCTCAATTATATATATATATCTTGATAATCAAGATTGGAGCAAAGTGAAGTCAATAATTTGCATGCATTCAGCACTATATATATATATATATATATATTCTTGATAATTTTTGTGCCAAAATATATTGTTTAACTTTTTCCTTCTCCTTTTGTTAAAGACAAATCATTAATTTTTATTAGAATTAAATTCAAATAATTAAGGATAATGCTAGGATACTTCAATCTTTAACATTTTTTTTTTTACTAAGTGATGTGATTTTTTTGTTAAAAAAAATTCAAATCATTAAATTTGAATCTTATTCTAGTTAGATATGCGCTGACAATTATATAAAGTAATAATTAATGAATCGCATCATGTTTCTTCATTTAATAAAACAATCTTAGTAAAAAAAAAAAAGGCGTTTTTATTACTATCCATAGTGACCTCGGCAAACTGCTGTAAAGTCTTCGTCAATGATTGATTCTTTTTCATAACAAAAAAACAAAAAAACAAAAAAAAACCTGCTCGCCCAATATGCATCTTATTGTCCGGTTCAGACATACGCATCAGAAACTTGAATATTTCTGCAGGTAATAGTGATGAATGTTCTGATTGTGGTAGCTCGAAAAGGATCTTGTCTTGAAACTATGGGTATGTGAATATGTTTTGATTTTGTACATTATTTGTCTCTCTTACAGTCTAGATTTGCACCTTTGTCCATCCTAGTCTTGGTTTATTTATAATTAATCTGCAGGAAGGGCAAGAAAAGAGGAGTAGAAAACATTGAAGATGTTTGCTGTACAAAATGCTGATCATGCATGATCCAGGCTCGAAAACGGATCATTATCAAGGGAAAAGAAGAAGAAGAAAGGATTCCATGATTTAAGAGTTGTATCTAGCAGCAAAATACAGACAGCGTTTGGTTTGGATGAGTGGTTGATTTTAGAAAATGAAAACAGGATGCTCGAACTGCAAAAACATGCTTCATGTCAGATTGATTATATGAAAATTTGAATGACATACTATAAGGAGAAAAGAGTTACGCAAACTCTGATAAGGTACAAAGCAGAGACATCTTTTGAACAGATTGTGGGACTGATGCTAGCCACCCTTGAAAGTCAACAGGAAGCTTCATGTACCCTTGTTTCATCCTTGAAAGATGCTGGGTTTACCAAGTCTGTTGATCAACCTCTTGGATTTTGAAATAAGCAGATTAACAGGAGAGAGAGTACCTGAAAGGTGTGACTACATTCTATTTGTGTCGAAGGGTTAACAAAATTAATATGTTGCCTGGTGTGCTCATCTAACTTATTGACTTTTTGAACTATGTATAGTTCAGGTACTCTGTTCTTGATGTAATTCTTCGTGCAATTGAAGCTTTTTCTGTTTTGGATGGCCATTCCCAAGACATCTGCTCTAATAAGAAACTTCTCCAACTAATTTGTGACCTCGTCAAACTCTCCGATAGCTTCTGAGGTATTGTGAATTCATAGTCTCTAATCAGCATCACAAATCATATTCTTTGTGACTGGTAATTTCCGTAAGGTTTAATTGCCGAGAATTTAATATACAGACTGAAACAGCATCTGTAGATTTTCTGAAATTCGGACAATGGCTTGTCTGTCCTCCATTACTGAACTGACAATCTCTTAATACTTTTTCTATCCTCAAAACTATTGCTGGTATGAACTATGAAATTTCTATTGGAAGATTTTGATTACAAGCCCTTTTGTGTGGGTTCTTTGTGCAATATGTGATCTGGAATTTTCATGAATCTTCAAAACTTTTGTCAGGTTCTGACATGCCTTTGATGCCTACATGTCTTTTGTCCCAGCAGGTTTAGGTTCTTAGCTGTATGATTTTTTCAGTGATGCATGGTACATCTATGATCAGATTACCTTTAGCACTGCATGTTTACACAATTCCCATGGATTTTAACTGTTGATTACTAAAGTTTCATTCCGTAGCTGAATTTGGGGCATCTGATTTATTTATTTGTTTTTCCTGTTTCTGTTCTGGTATTCTATTGTTAATATTTCTGCCTTGAATTTTCGAGAAATGTAGAGAACAAATTTTGGCGGATAGATGTTTTCCCATTTCTTTTTCATTTGTGGTTTCTTATCTTATAGAATATGGGTTTTACGAACTTTATTGTGAGGCTATCTATCTATATTGCTCTCTGAGGCTTCTGTGATGGATGTGATTGAGAGACCAGAAAACATTAGAAAATTTTATTTTTTGATCCCCAACATTACCATTAAGTACCCTGATTTGTTTCCTATATAAAATTCTATGACAGGTACTGCTAGTGCTTTGTCAATGGCAAACTCCAAGGAGTCAGCAAACATAAGAAAGTTGATGTACTCGGGAAAGCATGCATTACTTCCTCCAACAAGTCCTTTTTCCTATTATTTCTCCATCATACGTTGATTATGTTCCCAGCAGCAATATTGGATCAAAAACTTTTCAAAAGCCTAGAGAGGGAAACACACACCACCAGCGAACCTTCCTCTGAGACTCTCTTCATAATGAGCTGGAGACACCTGTCCGCAGAGGAGGTTATAGGCGTTCATCAAGTGACTCCTTTGCTAACATAGATGTAGCTAATGCTTCTAACATAGATTATGCAGCACAGGATGAGTACAGATATAAAAATGTGGTGTCTATACCTTCTTGGGGATCTCTAGACTTTGATTATTACAAAGATGTTAGGCAAACTTCTATCTATGCTGAACTGAACATGACAAAAAAGAACAGGGCTAGGGATTCATCGACCTTTAAATGCCCCCAAACTATCCAAGCAGCCTTTCCTCTGCCAGGAAGAATGCTGGTCTGCTGAGTTCAGGATCATCATTTGGCCCCCGGGAAGCAGATGGTGTTTCAGAGAGTGAAAAGCAAGATCCACTCGATGGTCCACATGATCCAAAAATTTCATCCGAGAAAAAGGAGAGTTCAAATTCCAAGTGTTCTGCATCAGAGACTGATACAAAACGTGCTAAACAGTATGTCCTTTATTATTTTTTCCTCATTATTCAATAACTTTATGCTTACTTTGATATATTACTTCTACATATATAGAGCTTGGATCAAGTCACAGTATGAGTGTCATCATTTAATCTCGTTAGTGTCCCCCTCTTCTTTCTGTGTTCAATACATGTTTTATTGATATACTGGATGGATCGAGCCCCAGTATCGGTATCCTAACTTATTATTGTAAGGATGCATAATCAGGGGCTACTAGCTTAACTCTTGTAGGTCTTCTAGGAGTTGTCGCATCTATAAACTGGAAAATCCAACCATCACACCTAGGTTACTTAGACACAACTTTAAAGCTTAATCGCCGAAGAACTCAATTCATAAACTCTGATTCTTAATATGAAGCATTTCAAGTATGGATATTTATCGACTCAACACACTCCTAATTAGGCAGTTAAATCCTACTAAAATGGAACCCCAGATAATCCTTACAGTATTAAGCTCAAAAAAAGACTAAAATTTCCAAAATAAAAATAGAATAATACAAGGGGAGCGTCAATGCCCCATTTTCATGGCCGCATTATTCTGATTTCCGTCTTTATTAATAGAGTAGATACATGCAGTAAGATGTTGGAAAAATATCATGACGGGCACTGAGGTGTTTATTAATGCCTTATTAACATTCTACTGGCCCAAATTTAGCGGATGCAAAATAATCACATGATTAAAGGTTCTAAGAGAAAGGGGTATGGTCAAGGGCTGACCCTATCAGACCCTTTGAAGGTCTTAGGTTGAAGTTGGAGCGATTTTGTCATTTCATTTCGTGATGATAGATGATAATGCCTCTTCCATGTAGAGGGAAAGAAGGAAAAAAAGAACTGATATGTAATGATTTTTTCTAGCGAACATGTTGAGTGTCTTTCCATTCTACTCTTGAGCTGAAAGAATCATTTTCAAATAGGATGAAAGTGAAAGCAAGCATAAATATCGAAGAAGCAAGGAGCTGGCAATCCATGAGTAACTCAGGGGTGCATATATACCTCTAAGAGGACCATTGCATGAAAAAAAACAGTTTCTTTTCTCCAATTTGAATGGTTGATGGTCGAGGCGCTATAGCTGTTACAAATTACATTATCTTTCCTTTGGACTGGAGTCAAGTCGTCCCGCTTTTTCTTGGGAGGCAAACATCTAGTCCATAAGGACGTATGACACTTTTGTTGCTTGTAGATTTTCAAAGCCCGTATCGATAGTCGATTCCCAATGTTACAGATGAAAAAAATCGTATCGCAGCTCATTCTGTCTAGTACATATGAACTTGTGACCAACTATCGTTACTGTCAGTTGTGAAGAATTGTGACTGTTCTTTGGTAGATTCAGATAAGATCCTATTCTTTCCTAAAGGTAACTCTTTAACATGATTTTTCATCTGTTGAAGAGGATGAGTTTTTTCCTTCTGCATTTTCTACTTGGCTTGCTTAATAGTCATATCTGTGGACGACACATAGCTTTATCTCTCTGAGTTGAATATATGAATATATTGTGGCTTTATCTTTCAGATTTGAATATATTATTATTTTGTGGCCCCTCAGAGTTGAATATATGAATATTTTATGGCTTATGCTATTTCTACATTTTTGATCTGTCAATAAACAATCTACAATTTGGTATTATGGTTATGAATCATGCTTTTGGCTGTTTTTGGAGACTTGTTTGTAGAAGCTAGAATAGCTACTTATAATACGAAGTATAAGCAAAATTGAGAAAGTTCATGTACTCTGGAATGCGTTAAACGGAAATACTTTTGTTAATAAGACTTAAAATGATTTCCATTGCAGGCAATTTGCTCAGCGCTCCAGGGTCCGAAAACTTCAGTACATATATAGCTGAGCTGGAAAGAAATGTACAAGCTTTGTAGGCAAGTATCTCTCTGCAGAAGCTGAAGTGAGGCGTAATTTTCTATTTAATTTGTTAGGGTGTTGAATGAATTGCCAAAATTGTCTGATGTCATAACTATATTTTGTACTCCACAGGCAGAAGGATCTGAAGTTTCAGCTGAGCTCGAATTTGTCAATCTGCCAAATCTTATTCTAAGCATGGAGAACAAAGCTCTTAAGCAACGGTTAGAAAATTTGGCCCAGGAGCAGCTTATCAAATACTGTAAGCTCTAATTCTTGACTTCTTGACAGTTAAGGTGTCTGAAAAGAGTTAAGTTTTTGGCCCATTTAGTTTTTCATGTTGCTAACATATGAAACTGATAAGAGTCAATGATTGCTTTCTCCCATTCTATACCACTAAACTTCCCGAGAAAGAGGGTCAGACGCATCACGGAAGTGCACATTGAACAGAAAAGGATATTGAAGAAAAATGTTATCTGGCATTTGTAAGGGATTTGTTTTATGGATTTAGTGGAGAATAATAATCAAATAGTTGGCTTGGCAGAAGGTTCGTAATATTTGTGAAATATTCATATTTGAGGATAGGAAGCATCAACATGTTGTTAAAGTTTTTAGATATTAGTGAATATAATAAAAGCTGCATTTTGAGGCCTCATCTAACGATGTAAGCTTGACTTTTAGATTAACTTTTAGATTGAGTGGTTCTTAACATGGTACCGGATCTCACCGACCATGTGGCCGGGAGATCAATCTTACCACCCTCTTTCCTTCTTCTAAAGAAAATAAAAATCTCAATATTAAGTAATGTGAGCTCATGCAAGTTTCAAGTTCAAAGAGCTTTCACTTGAGGAGATATGTTGGTGAATATAATAAGACCATATTGTCATGGACTTGGCCTTTCCCAAGCTCGAGTGCGGTACTTAACTCACTTCTTCTCTAAGTCAAACCAAGTCAACCTTCGCTACAAAAAGTTGTTAAGCAAAAAAGACACATATGAGATATAAGAACTCTTTGTATTGCTCTCTAAGGTTTACAACTCTAAAATACACTCCTTTAGATTTACGGATGTCCGGATGTTTTGGCCAAATGAAGGCCTCGCCTATTTATGGCCTTCTACTTCCGAATGGATGGCTAGAATCTAATTGATCTAATGGCTACGATTGATTCTCTAGAATTATCCTATCTAAATATGTACAAGCTAGAGTAATGAAGGATTCTCTAGAATTCTCTAAGATATGTCTAGATTTCTTTTGAACACCATAGAGGCTTCTTCATTGTTCCATAATCTTCAGAGGCTTCCGGACACTACAAAAAAAAATAGAATTAGCGACGTCGGCAAAAGTCGTCGCTAATTTTAATTAGCGATGGTTTTGCGACGGTCCAAAAATCGTCCGTAAAATGCTAGTTGCTAAAATTTTATAATGTTTTTTGGACCATTGCTAATTAGCAACGAAAAAAACCATCGCGAGAAAATGATAGGAGAAGTAAGGGAATTTTGCGACGGTAAGCAAAACCCTCGCTAAAATAGTTGCAATTTTGCAAGGGTTTTAGACCATCGTTAATATTTGGAATTAGCGATGGTCTAGATCATCGGACCGTTGTTAATTCCATCGCTAAAAGATTATTTTTTTACCTTCATTTTAAATTAACTAATTTCTATTTAAAAGTCTACAAAATACCCAAAACATAATATTTTAAAATTTCATAATTATTATTATAAAATTTATTAAAATATAATAAATACTATTTAATTATTAAATTCTTGAAAAAAGTAAAAAGTTTGTTGTTATTACATGATAGCTAGGAGAGATTGGCGGGATCGTCACTCGGAGGTTGGGTAGAATCGTCTAGAGGTTATGTGGAGTCATCACCAATGTTAGGCATGGTGGATGAACGACCACATTGTTGAAAATGCTTGCAGCAACATTTGTTGCATTTGTGTCATCATCATATGTTGCTGTCCGAGTGTACTCCTTTAACTCATTTGTTGTAGTCAATAGCTTTATGACGGTACCTCGTAGCTCTTGGATCTCTTGCGTATTTGCAACAGTTTGATCCTCGCTTTCCTTTCGTTGTGCCTCATCACCAACATGGACCCGCGAAGTTGCCAAGCTGGAGGCTATATTGACGTTAGAGTAATAGCGAGATGCGTGTGATCCAAGTCCGTACATCCTCTTCCTCTTACTATCCCCTCCACCAACGACCTTCCTAAAAATCTTATTAACGTTGATGTTGGTTGATGAAGTCCCTCCGATCTGTCGGCTAGCAACCTTCCTCATTTATTAATTTTTCTACGGTTTCTGCATAATTATGAAAGACATAATATTAAACGGCTATGTGAAATAACGTTATAAATTAATATGTATGAAATAACTTTATAAAGTAATTAATAACTTACATCGATAACTCTTGACCGTTGATCAACGAAGACATATTGATCATCAATCTTTTTCGATGAGTCCTCAAAAGAACCTCGTGAGGATCGGGGTCACGACCCAACACCTTACATTGAAATAAATAAACGTAAATGTATCAAATATACTCAAATATTTAATTAATTATTTTGATATATATATATATATATATACAAACACACACACACACCATGTGTATTGTGTGTTGCGATAGGACTTGTTCGGGAACGAACGATTGTCTTGTTGTGATGATGAGGGCACTAACAACGACGAAGGGAACAATGGACGGGGATGTGGAGGTCCATAATAAGGATATGGATCAAGCTCGGACATGTCGGGCCTCGAAGGGTATATCGTGGGGGCACCGGTAGGGTGGTACGAAGGCATGTTCATGGGGAGTCCATTCGACCAAGAAAGGAAGAAGAATGGCGTCCACATGCACGATCACTACCCGAATCGGTATCCGAACCGCGACCCTTACCGTATGACATGGGCTACCGCATCCGAGAACGTCCTCTACTTCGAGGCATGATAACCTACACATTATTAAATTCATTAGTATTAAAATAAAATATTCATTATATAATACTAACATATAACTTTCATATTAATATGAAAAATTTCAAATATATTTATTTAACTAAATAAACTTAATTACTAATTGATTTTTTAATTACTAAATATAATTTTAAAAATTATTAATTTTTTAATTACACATTATTAAATTCATTAGTATTAAAATAAAATATTCATTATATAATACTAATATATAACTTTCATATTAACATGAAAATTTTTAAATATATTTATTTAACTAAATAAACTTAATTACTAATTGATTTTTTAATTACCAAATATAATTTCAAAAATTATTAATTTTTAATGACTAATTATTTTTGTAATTACATAGCTCTTTTACTTAATCAACAACTAAATAAACTTAATTTTAATTAGTAAAAATAATTTACAAAAAAATTAATTTTTTATCACTACTTTATTTTGTAATTAACTCCTTTACTTGGATAAAAATATTTTTTTAATCACAACTAAATAAACTTAATTACTAATTAATTTTTTAATTACTAAATATAATTTTTTTAAAAATAATTTTTTAATCACTACTTAATTTCGTTATTAATTAACTCATTTACTTAATCAAAAAATAAATAAACTTAATTACCAATTAATTTTTTAATTACTAAATAAAATTTCAAAATCAATTAATTTTTTAATTACTTGACTCCTTTACTTAATCAACAACTAAATAAACTTAATTATTAATTAATTTTTTTATTACTAAATATAATTCGAAAATTATTAATTTTTTAATGACTAATTATTTTTGTAATTACTAAAAATTTTAAATATTTCTAATAACTTATTAACAATTTTCTAAAATAATTAACTTTTCAAAATACCATCAATTAAACTAACTAAATTACCAATTAACAATAACAATTAACAATTAAACTAATAAAAATAACAATTAAATTAAAAACAAAAATTAATAACAATAAAATTAACAATCAAACAATTAAACTCTCACAATTAATAAAAATTAATAACAATTAATTTTTTCTTAAAAATTAAACTAACTAAATTAACAATTAATAATAAATTAACAATTATAACAATAAAATAAATAAATAAACTAAAATTAAATTAAATAAATAATTGAAAAAAATTAAAAAATTAATTAAGGGGTTAGATGAGGGAGGACCTTTCACCAATGCAAGGAGGAGAGTGGGTTGCGTCGATGGAGAGCCTTCGCCGGACTATTCGGGTCGGAAGATGGCTGGTTGAGGAAGGGGGAGAAAGGAAGAAAGAAAGAGGAAAAGGAGGAAGAAAAGAGGAGAGATGGAGGGGAGAAAGGGAAGGAGGAGATTGGAAGGAAAATAAAAAGGAGTGGGTGAAGATTTGATGGAAATGAAAGGGAGATCGGCACTTGGAGAAAAAGAAGGAAAGAGAGAGAAGAATTTTTTTTTTTTTTTTTGGTAAATTTTCGGGCAAATTGTTATAGGAGGGTTGAAAGTTTTAGCGATGGTCTAAAAACTATTGCTAAATGTCTGAAAAAGTTAAAAAAATAGCCATTTCTCTCCAACGGTTTGTTAATTAGTGATGGTTTTTAGACCATCGCTAATTTACTAATTTTTTGACTTTTTTGTAAAAAAGCCGTCGCAAAAAATGCTTGGACGAAATAATTTTTTTAAAAAAATGGAATTAGCGATTTTTTTTTTTTTACAAAAATCATTGCAAAAAATGGTTGCATAAAATTTTTTTAAAAAAATTGGAATTAGCGACTGTTTTTTTTACAAAAACCGTTGCAAAAATGATTGCTGAAATTTTTTTTAAGAAAAATAGGAATTAGCGACGATTTTTTGGAAAAAACCGTCGCTAATTTTCCTCGCTAAAGTGTTTCCAAGCATCGCAATTTTAGTAAATTAGTGACGGTCTTTAGTAAATTAGCGACGGTTTTGAGACCGTCGCTAATTTACTAAAATTGATCCTTTGTTCTTTTGTAGTGAAACTTATCTAGTATTTCCAATAGCCTCTAGAAAAATCTCTCTTTTAGGCGGGGGCATAACAATATGATGGAGCCCTCATGTCAACTTAAGCATGTTGAATGGTTCTGTCATTGGAAGGACTAAAGGCAGGGTTCTAGGATTTACTTTTAACGATGAAGTCATCGGCATGTTTTTTCCGTGTAACGAAAAAAATTAGCAATACCTTTTTTTCGAATGTCTTGTAGAAATTCTTATAGAGAATTTGATCTTTTGGAATGTGTCAACTCTTTTGTACGATTTTTACCACGCGAAATGGATATTCTTATAGCTTTGCTTCTTAGAATCAGTTTGTGCT